CATCGCGCTGCTCGTCTTCGGGGGGCCCATCGGCTTCCTGCCCTGCTTCGCCTTCATGTGGCTGCTGGACAAGAAGGGTGAGGGCTGCCGCTCGTGAAGCTTCCTGAGCATAAAAAGGGGGGGACAAAGCAAAAAACAACCCTAAAAACCCCCTCCTAGGGATAGACGTGACAAGTCCACCGGTCCCCATGAGAGCGAAGGGCTTCGGGTTCGCTTGGGCGCGTGCTTCCTCACCCCTTCCCGTCGGGGGCCGCCTCGGGGGTAAAAAAAAAGCTCCCTGTTTGGTCGCGGCGGGACGCTGCACCCCTGGGGGGGGACGTCACGGACCGGGCGAGTGTCGCCGCACCCCTCCGTGAAGCTGCGGCGTCCGTGCGGGAATGGTTCGGGGCTGGGTGTTTCGTGTGGAGAGGCAGAGGATGGAGATGGGAGGTGGGGGCCCAGCGGGAGCTGGGGAAGGGGGTTGTCGCGCGAAACATGTCAAACTTTCCGCAGGTCGGTTGGTTGTCTTGGGCTCTCGCCCCTCTGAAAAGAAAAGTTGGCGCCTGTGATGGAGCTGAGCTGTTCTCAGTGCAGCCAGGTGACGGAGCAAAGAGCAATGGTGTGAAGTCGGATATTAGGACAGACTTTCTCACTAGGAGGGTAGTAAGCACTGGAACAGGTGGCCCAGAGAGGTGGCCACGGTTCCTTGGGTGAATTTGATATCTTTTATTACACCAGAGAGGTGGTGGCATCTATGTCCTCGGAGGCTTTTAAGACCTGGCTAGACAAAGCCCTGGCTGGGATGATGTAGTTGGGGATGGTCCTGTTTTGTGCATCAGGCTGGATTAGATGCGACCTCCTCGGGTCCCTCCCAACCCTGACTTTTGACGACTGCGAATACAGTGCGCAGTTCTTCTATATCCTCTATGAGTGGTAGGGACCAGAAGTAGAGAAAAGCAATGGCTAGTCGGCTAATGGTCAGTCGTACAGAGGGGCTTCCAGACGTGGAGAGACTGAAGAGGCTAGGCCCTTTCAGTTTACAAAAGAGGCGCTTGAGGGGGGACGTGATTAGGTTTTACAGAATAGCAAAGAAACAATAAATAGGGATTTATTATTGACTGTCGCAAGACAAGAACTAGGGGTCACAAAACGAAACTAGTAGGTAGTCGGTTGAAAACTAACACAGGGAAGTTTTTTCGCACAGTTTGTCATAGGCGTGGAACTTGTTGCCACCAGATGTGGGAGCTGACAGTTTAGCTATGTTCAAAAAGGGGTTGAACAATTTTTTGATAGAAAGGGGCATCGGTAGTTATTGAACATGGAGGTTAGGGATATAGCTTTTGAATTAGACCTTCATAGACCTCAAATGCTGGAGACTGCAAGGGAGAAAGAAACAGTGGGGGGGAAAAAACCCTGTTCATGCCCAGTCCACTTTCTTTTTCAGCATCCAATCTTTGCCGCGGTGTAACACAGGTCTGTTTGATGTTAACATGGGCTTGACACCAAGCAGAGTGCACCAAATGGTGTGACACGGGCCACTGGGCAAGACGGACCTCTGGTCTGACGCAGTAAATGGCAGTTCTCATGTTCTTGACTCCTCAGCTGTCCACATTAGGCTGTAAAACAGTCCTGTTGGAGTTGGGAATCAAGCAGGCAAATGTTGGTTATGGTAGTCAGAAGGATGCAGGGCAGTTGTAATCCCTTGAAACACTTGATCGGTGGAGGAGTGGGGGGAATGGACTGGATGTCAAGTTGCTGTGTTCTTAACCAGCTTTAAAAAAAATAATCTTGAAATGCTTTTTGGGTTTGAGGAGGGACTGTTGCTTTTTCTTATCTGTATTTAAACCAGTACCTTTATAACGGTGCACATCCTGTACTAGGCTTAGAGTTCATGCAAGGCCTGTTAGCCTATGAGCACTCCTGTTGAAGTGAATGACGCCTACTCATGGATGAAGTTAAGCATGTGTGTGCATTCAGGACTGGGACCTTAGTTTGTACCCCATTTATTTCTCCTACGAATTAGTTGCTTGTTTCAGTGGGGAAAAAGGAAAATGCAACGTAACTTGAAAACATGCATGTGCTCTAACATGCACTACTTACTGATGTGAGGTGGATATCAAGAAGTGCTATTTGCAGCCATTATCCTTCTCCCAAACACTGCAGTCTTAAGTGAAGAATCTCAGACTTTTTGCCGTTATCAGTACATTATCTAACAATTAAGCTATAGATTGCAGTCTTGTAAGAGATTTAATATTGTACAAACTAAGAGCAATGTGAACTGGTGTGCTGGTCGAGTCGAGTCCTGTGTTCTGTGGTCTTCGCAGTCACAGGTTTCTGAGAAATGCAGAACTTGTTGGACAAACTGTTGGAAAACCTCAGATGAAGAAGCAGAAATGGATCAGAATAATATGGTGGCTGGGTTCTGACTGTGCTTTTTCTTTTTCCTTGTTTTTTCTTTTCTTTTCTTTTTTTTTTAAAGAAAATGCCAGAACTCCGTTTATTTACATTTTTCAAAATTCGTAGGGCTTTACTTTTGAGTTTATAAGGCTTTTGGGAGTGGGGAGAGGAAGGGATTTTCCTATTTAGCTTTTTTTTTTTTTTGAGAAAAATGTATAGGTAGCCTAAATGTGTCCTTTAATCCATCACCTTTCATGTGCATAAAAGTTAACACCTCAGGTTCAGCACATGATTTTTTGTACTTGGATCTTGGCACACCAGGGATTTTGTCTTTGAACCTTCACCTTGATGCCCTTTTTTTGAACCATGGCTCCAAAACTTCGTCTAGGGAAGTGCTTTATGAGGTGGATAAGATGGAGTCGTACTGCTTAGGACTTCTTTGGGTACATGGGAAAGGAACTTTTTCTGTGGACTCCTATGGTATGTACTGCCACAGATTTTAAGAGGACGCTGCTGGACTAGGTACTGGTTCTTTAGAATCCACAAACTTGTTCAATCCAGTGATACTGGTTGTTGGGAACTTTTAAGGCCTTGTGGTACTTCCATTCAGAGCAGTGTTGCATCCCTAAAAGATGAAACAAGTAGTTGCACTGACTTTATTGTATGGACCAACAAACACAGAGGAATTGCAGCATTTATTCTTATGGTGATATTTATCTTTAGTGGCCGTCTCTAGTGGAGAAACTGATAGAAAACCTTGTATTTGTCAAATGGTAGCAACTAAGATCTGATGTATGAAAATGATGACACCTTTGTTGCATATCAGAACTTGGGAGAGAGCAGAAAATCTCTGCGTTCTGACTTCAGAAAGTCGTAGACATCTCTGAATGCCAGTGGGCCATAGTTTGGTTTTACTGTGCGTCTGGTTGTAGTGATTTAATCTTTTTTTGGTTCATGGTGATTCAGTGTTTGACTTGAAAAGTTACTGTATTATTTTAAAAGCTTAAAACTTTAATTAGTTTCCTTGTCCAGCTTGTTTCCTCTCTTTTCCGTGCGAAAGCTTGTTTGTTGTTAGTTCTGCTTGTGATCATTTGGCCGCTCACACTTGTTTCCTTGTCTTTTAATGAACGTGAAATTGAAACGATTGGTTACTCAGCAAAAGGTGACATGGTTGGAAACGGCAATTTGGGATGCGAGAGGCATGGGCAGGCTGGAAAAGGGGTATGTTATCCCATGTTTGGCCCCTTGGAGAAGTCCAGGCATTGGCAGAACAGCACTGGACTGCCACCTGTTCTGCGGAGCCCCCAAAGGACTGCAGGAGCAGGGAATAATAGCCCGGCTGCTGTGAAGCCAGAGCAGAAGGACGGCCTCTATGTCTGTGGGTTTGACCTCCTCTAGCTCCCCAGTGACTTCCTGGGTTGAGAGTGGACCCCGGCTCCTGTTTTCTGTTGGAATTGGTAGTAAACCCTGCCCCTCGAACTAGAACGCATCACATTTCCACAAAAGTAAGACTATTGGGAGTTCCTACTCCAGCAAGAGGAGGATTATCCAACAGCATGCACCATTAGGCCTTTTTCATAATACGTGATACTTCTGTGGGCTGTATCATGAGACAACATAGTGGATTCAGATCCAGCTGGCTGCTGCCTAGGCCTTGTGACATGGAGATGAGGTTTCTTTGTGTGTGTTTGTTTTGCTGCATATTGCCGAAGCAAATGACATTTAATATGTTTTTGTTTCCACCTCCAAGCTAACAACCACAACAGGCTGCCTTTTCTAAGGCAGAACCTGTTTGCAGAAAATTACAGACTTGCCAAAAAAAAGTGTTAGTCAAGGATCAGTTGAAATGGCTGGAAATCATTCTTCTGTATTGAGGGGTTTTTTTCCCAATCTAATATAATTTCATCAAATACTTTTCCTTGTGGGATACGACTTGGGGGTTTATTTGACAGGAAAGTTCAGACCGGGTTCTGGCCAACATTATCTTCAGTTTTTAGGATATCAGTTTTAAGTAATTCTGCTTATGTTCCTCAAGAATCCAAACACCAGAGTAGGTGAAAGATTTCCACTGGTTTCAGTCAATGCTGGATTTTCTTATTGTTTGAATGTTTCATGATACTTTACGGATGGTGTTATGTCCTGTGATTGTTATGTCTGGTCAGAAACCGTTTCCCTTGGAGACGGGTCCACAACCACTTGTAGGTACTTTCTTTCCACGGAAATCAAAATGGGAGTCGAGTACCTGAATGCCTCCTTGGGGCTAGCTCTCAGACTCTTCACAAACTATAGAGTAGTAAATCTCAGAAGCAATATGCAGTATCAATCTACATAATGTACAAGATATAAATGAAAGGAGTAATTTGCAATAAAATGGCTGCTTCTACTTTACATTAAATAAAATGAAATCAAACGTTGATGGAAAAGTGGAATATCTTGAAATTGTCTTCTCAGAACAGTGTTGGCCGCCTCCATCTTGCAATGAGTTTAGCAGTAGGAAGAATTTTTAGCAAGTTCACAGTGGATATTAAATGTTATCTTTCTCTTGTGTGTTGTTTTGGTTTTTTTTAAACAAAACTTGTTTTTTTAAATTATGAATGCTCACAGGAGCTGTGTAAACAGCTTATTCTCTTGAATTTGCTAAAATCAAACATGCTAGCATTACTATCTTTAATAATAAATTGTGACGGGGAGAGAGATCTTG